AGCAAAGGAATTGTACCAAAAGACCTTACGTGTTTCGCTGGACTTGGCTTTTGTTCTCAATAACTTGGTGGGTGGGAATACTTTGAAAAAGCAAAAAAGGAAAACCAAAATTTCAAGAATGCACGAAAAAGTATAACCTTAGGATTTGCCAAGATTAATGTTGTACGTGTCTTGGATCTTGTTTATATTGTGGGCTTTCCGGTAACCTAAGAAAATGTCAGGGATATCAAATCACATGGTTTGCAACTAATGCAGAAGTGGTAATTATGTATCTATCTTTGGTTTATTTCAGACAGACAGTGCCTTTTAAGGTGGGGTTTACACAGCACCAAAACAGCATCAAGTAAATAATTTACTTGGGCATTAAGTTGAGAAACTGAGGAATCTTTTAGAGCACAAGTAGATTGAAAGTGACCCTTGAAAATTTATAATCAATTTTTTATTAAATTTATGACAGTAAAAGGTCCTGTACATGCATTATTAACATGGTCTATTTGATGTTAGGTGTTGTCTCAGTGGGACAACACCTTATTATACAATAAATGAATAACATGTGTGTAAATATGTAAAATAGATTTGTTCTATTTTTTATTTTTTAAAATTTAAAAAATAAAATACAAAATAATTTAATTTTTCATATCATATTTACAATTTTTTAATTTATTTAATTAAATATAAAATAAAAAATTAAAATCATATATTTACACATATCATTAATTGAATAAATTGTAATGAAATAATATCTAACATAAAATAGACTACTCATCTAGATCTCATCCTCAGAACTGATTCTACACGCAAGGAGGACGAGGGAGAAAGTCATGCACATGCACAACAGGAGCGCTGGCTTTAATAGGTGGTTGAATAATTGGCATATAGGACCAAAAACTAATGCGTGATGAGCCAGTTTCTTCTTTCCATTTTCTTATTTATTTAGGCTAAAGAACGGCCAAACCTCGACCCAAAAAAGTTTTTTAAAAAATATTAATATAAATCATGGTAAGTTTGTAAATATAATGTTAATTATCAAAATAAATATAAAATTAATATAATAAAAGTTAAATTAATAATCTATAACTAAAATCCTGCAAAAATTTTGTAAAAAATTACTTGCTTTATTTAAATCTGAAAATAGGGTCCTTGCCGTTAGAAGGGTATGAGATTGTCTTCTTGTATTTATTTTAAGAGAAAATTTGTAAGGCAGTTTAGTAATTTTAAGGACATTCAAGGTCAGAATAGAAATTAATTCCGTTCCAGGTTATTTGCAAAACATTACCCACTTAAGGGCATTTCAATTTGCAGGAAGAGTTCTTATTTTTTATACGAAAATGTTCTTAATTCCATTTGGCCCGAATGTCTTTGAAATTATCAAATTGTCTAGTTTGGTAATTTTTTCTTATTTTAAAAATATAAAGTTATTCACTGAAACTTTATCTAAAAAAATTCTTAAAACTTGGTAATTTTCGGAAACAAAAATAAAAAAAAAAAAAAAAGAAATTAAAAGAGGGGAGGGGACCGAACTTGAAGGCCTAACCTCTTGCTTGGGTCCATCTTTCACTAGTTATTTGTTATATGATTCATGTGTCGGTGGCTAGAAGACAATATTTGGGTTATTAGCCGCAACAACCAATAATACAAGCTTAGAAAAATATTAAACCATTAAGCTTTTTTATTTTTTACCGTTGTTTTGGTCTGCAAATAGTTGTTCACAGCTTACATCTTTATCCCTAATCAAACTAATATAACCCACAAAAAAATTGATTATGACAACACCACCCCTTTCTTTCTACCGGCAGATAGATCATAGATATATAGATAGGTAGGTAGATAGAGAGAGAGAGAGAGAGAGAGAGAGAGAGAGAGAGAAGAGAGAGAGAGAGAGAGAGAGAGAGAGAGAGAGAGAGAGGTCTAAATCTAAAAGTTTATCTTTAAACTGTGTTTTTTAAATCAAAATTAAGTAGAGAGTCTTCTGAATGATGTAGATATTGACGAAAGGGGACAATTAGTTACTTACCAAACCCTAATTTAAGACCCAAAATCATTCTAAACTTCTTCTTTGTTTATTTTTTTTATTCCTGAAAATATTTTTGAAAAAGAATGAAATTTAAATCATCCCCATTAATATAGCATAAGCTTGTTGCCCCAATCGATTTCTTTTTTTTCTTTTTTGGAAAAAAAAAATTGGGAAGTTTTATTTACTGCAAGTATTTCACTAAAGACTAGTGCATGCCATTTAACTCTTCTAGAAATATATTATAAAACAAATATAAGAAGGATTGATTAGCTATTTCTACTATTTCTTTGCGAAGGTGTGGCATTACTTAACGCTTAAGTTCTTTTTCAGCTTAAGCAACACCACCCCCACATCATTTCACTAGGCCAGACCGACAACAAACCAATAACCAAACAACCCCACTTCCCCCCATTTTTAATAATTATGGGCTACCTAACCCAAAACACTCTCCCATGGAACACGTCAATGACATAAATTACACTACTTTCATGGTAGAATAGCTATTCCTGTTCCTGTTATTACAGAGTAGAACTTTCACTTGGTTGAGAGAAAAAGGTTTAATCTTTTATATTAAGCACTTTGAATTAGGTTAAATTTGATTAAAAAATCAATACACTTGTTATTTTTTCAAAAAATATACTTTACCTCAATAATCTCATCCTTGTCCATCAACTACTTGACTCTTAAGATGATGAAATCAACCGTGAGATCTCCTGATCTTGCTTCGGTGATTAAATTAACTATAACTTAGGAAACTATTTAAATTTAACTTTTCCGAAACCCCCTTTATTTCATTTTTATTTCCTTATGTTTCTCATGGTTGAATTTATCTATCATTCAATCTTGTCTCCTTTGCACTCTTACGTAAAAAGTCTCTCTCACAGTAAAATTTCAGTTTCTCGAAAATTGTTTTTGTTTTCATTTTAAGATTTGGCAGTACGATTTAACTCTTCTGGTTCCAGCTTCAACCCAAGGACCCACCCACCAAGGCACAAACGGGTCCGGTTGAGACACGGAACATTTGGTAGTCGGGTGTGGACCCCGGACATTGGCGCACCCGAAGTTGATCCTCATCCGATTTATTTGACAAAGGCGAAACCGGGCCGGGTTGGTACGTACTGACACATGCCCCTTCTGACACCCGACCCAATCAGATGTTTACATTTGAATATTTCGAACCTTCTTCTCCCCTCCCCTCTTCCGCCTGCCACGCGTGTCCTTGATACATAATCACGCAGGCCGCCTTGGTAATTGGACCTTTCCAATCCACCGTCCACCGTTCGGGCCATCCTTTCCAGACTCATTTCTCTTTCTCTTTTAATTAATTGAAACTATTAAATCTAATATAAATTAACATTATAACTTTTTTATATTATAAAATTAATTTAAAAAAAAAATAATTTCAAATATCAAGTTTATCTTATCTTATAAGCTGCCTAGCGAACACCATAAAGTTTGTAGTGGAAGTGCCACAAATGGGCTTATTTTATTTAGCATAGGATACTTGTTGCTTTTTTAAGATTTAATCAAATAATAAAAGGGTATTGCTTACCTCAGATCACATGTGCAATAGGATTTAATTAACTTGCTTATGCTAGCAAAAAGATACGTGTTTTTATAACACCTAAACTATTTAAAAATGATATAATTAATTTTAAACTTTTCTTCTAAACGAAATGTCAAAACAGATTATGATTAAGCCATAAAAAAAAATAATTTCATTCAAAAAAAATTATTTAAGCGACAATACAATTATTATAACAAAGTGAGTTTACATATAAATGTTGTAAATAATTGCGTCAATTTTAAATTTTTATACTACTATTATATCAAATCACATCAATTACGTCGGTAAATGATAAATTTATATAAATCATAAATATTAATATTATTATTACATAATAGATCAGTCACACTACCCGGATAATAAATTTATAATCAAAACCATGACCGTTAGTCGATTTGGTCACTCTTTTCCATTGAACTTGATCCTTCCAGTAGCATTCATTGTGTGAACAAGGCTCCAAAGTGGTTGTGTTTATCAACAGATCGAAAGATCATCCTTGCTTTTTTGAAGATTGGGGGAAGATGAACAAATAGTCATAATACATTCAACCAATTAAAAGACTTGCTCTGGCCGATTCAATGAGTGAATAAAATTGATAACAAATCTCACCCTCTAGCTCTAGCCCTTTCTTGCAGTAACTATAATAATGATAATGATAAGGACTTGTTTGTGTGGTCCTTAAAAAGCATTATATTCTCCTTCTAACTAACAAAAAACCCTGTTTAGAAAAAACAGAGGACTGAAAATCAAGCTTGACCAACCTCATCTTAAAACCACAAGAGATGGACATATGGTGGTGGAGGTCGCATGAGCATTGAGCAAGGCCCAAGCAGAAGCCAAAAGGGCGAAGTGGTGGGGTCTAAAACTTTCCTTTCGTAATTAAGACGGCAATGGAAATGCATGCTGCTGGTAGATAGCACGTTGCTTTCATCTATCAAATTATAGGATTAATATTATATCTGAAAATGGGTCCTTTAATTATCTTTTATTATATATTAAATTCACTTTTATCCCCATCAAATTTTCAATTATTAAAGATTTGCACACCCGAATTGTAAATTTTTCAAACATGATGCAAATTGAGAACCCATTTTCTGACCCTATGTGGTTAATTTATTCCTCCTTTTAAGAAGAAGAAGAAGAAAATGGAATGGAAGAAGAGAATTATTGATTATATATATCCATAGAGATTAATTATTAGGGCAGACACACGCCCTGATCGTTAATACATAATGAAAAGGAAATTACAGGAATGCTAAGAATTTCGATAAAGCTACTAATTATAAATCCTGGCCACTTGAGAATTTATCGGGCAAGAAATTCCCCTGCCTCGGAAACAGAGAAACAACAGGGTTGCATAAAATTCACCAAAAAGCTTCTTTTCCCTTGCAACTTTTTGAATCTTATCACGTACTTGGATCACCAAAAAGCCAGCAGCACTCCCACCAATCCAGAACTGATAAGCAGCGGCAACCCCAAGCCCAAACTTCCGGCGCCGGAGTATGATGTGACGATAGGATAAAGATTTCCCGGCGGACCAGTCACGTAAACATACGACGAGGGAGGCGGCGGAGGGCAGTATGGGCGTGGCGGCTTCTTGGGCGGGCGAGGGATATATGGTGGCGGTAGTTCTGGTGACGGCGGGGCAGGGCAGGAGGCGGTGGCGGGGGGCTTTGGTAGCATGGCTTGCTGCAGGTGGAGCACCCGCACTTCACTTCGGAGTCATCACCAATAGCCGGAGTTGCAACTCCGGCAATCAAAATAGTCACCGCAATCAGCAGATTCATCGGGGATGACAAGGTCGGTGGCCGGAAGAGTTGGGAAGTGGGTTTGATTGGTTTTGGAGACTTTTGGTGGGGGGGGGGGGGGGGTGTGGGGAGAAAGAGAGAGAGAGAGGTAGAGAGAAGGGAATAGAGGGTAGTCCTTGAGAGCAGCTTGGTTACGTTATTAGGGGCATGGGAGACGATGGAGAGCCGCTTGCCTTGACTTACAATGGGCCTTATAGTGCACAAAGTGGAGTGAGAGTTTTTGTTCTTTCTTTTATTTTTACTTTATTATTATATTTTTAAAAGGAGGAGCTACTGTTTGATGTAAGTCTACAAAATGAGGACCATGTGTATAATTAATATTTTTGTCCTAATTTGATGGTTTATCCTCTAATAATTTAATAAATGCCACAATCCCATAATTATATATTTTTTTTGAATCAACAGATATATTATATTGAATTTGAAAATTTATAAAAATCTAAATTAAATCAGTAACACTACTAAGATATATAATATATATTTGCTTACCAATCTTAAGAAAATGTTACAAGACTATTATTTTTGTCAAAAAGGATTAAAATATTGAGTTATGTAACGCCATTTATAACGAGTCTCTCACTTTATTTCTACTGCGATACTTTCATCTACTTTAACTTTTGATAATCCCGTTAAAGTTAAGCTCACACATTCCTTTACCTACCTCTTTTGTTGGCCACTATCAAATTAGAATTTCTCTCAAAAATTGATTCTGACATTACTTGTCACGATATAATAATTCTCTCTTTAAAAGATATACATATTTTGATGAACTCGCTACCATTTATAACTTAGTTTCTTTTTTTTTTTTTTTTTTTTTTGTCGCGTAAGACTTGTCACAAAAGGTGTATAAGCGTGACGAGATCTGAATGACGAAACGAGGAACAGGATTTGAACTGATTAAGTCCTTAGTTGTAATTGCAGCGAAGAAAAGGGTTAAGTTTGACGTGTCACATGCGGACCAAACGGCGAGGTTGAAATATCTACGCATGTTGACAATAGAACATGCACATATGACTAATGTGGCCAATTTACCCAAGTTCGCTGGATGGTTATGCCAAACCCATTTACTTTCAACGGTCAGGATTTAACATGGAAAACAGTCCACATGTGATGCGCGTAATTAAAGTATTAGAATAAAAAAGAAAAAAGAAAGTAATCAATTTATATATCATGTTAATGCTAAGACCAAAGTCAAGAATTTAGTATAATTTATGGGTTGTTAACAGTTTTGTTTACATCATAATACTATTAATATTTCAACAATTTCCAAAAAAAGTGATAAATATATTTTAAGCTTTCACAAATTTATAATCAATGCTTTAATTTTTATTCTAATTTTCTCAATTTTTCCAAATTTATTCACCACGGAAATTAATTTCTGAAGTGAAATTTTTTAATATAGTATGACATTTGAAGAGCTTGATGGAGAAGAACTCAGAAAATAAATCATATCAAGGTAGTATTTTGTGCTATCTATTTTTTTTTTAATTTTGTTAATATGTAATGTCATTTAAAATCTATCAAGTTAATATTTCGTGCTATTTATTTTTTTGTTTTGTCAATATGTAATGTCATCTAAAAGGCTATAATATATAATTAGTAATTAATATTGATAACCCAAAAATTAACTTCTCAATTTATAAACCTTACGATCTTAAAATTTAAAATTTATTAATATTCTTAGCTGAAATACTTTTGAACTAAAAATGCAGAAGTACAAATTAAAAATAACTAAACATATAATTAATAATTACCCTAATAGTCATCTTGAAAGGGAATTTTGGAGGGTTTGCACCCACCATTGACATTAAGCTAGTCACATGGCACTCGTTGTCTCAGTTTGACAAGAATTGGAGTTGAACAAGTGAAACCAAAGAAACAATTTACCAGACTACCATGTGCATGATTCGCTCTAACGTCGGTAACGTCACGGTTCAAACTTTGCTTTCACCTCTTTTACAGAAAGTCTTCTCTGGCATAAGAGTGATGAATTGGGCTTTTTTACCCCGTTTCATATGGTAAGAAGAAAAGTGGTTTCAACTGCAGGACTTCTCATTTACCATGATTTGAGTAGAGTGGGCACCAATATACACAATTTTATCTATTTCTGGAAGCAGCTTTTCCATGACTAAACAATTTTGTTCGCACTTTTTTTCTCTGTGAAAAGGCTAGCTTTCGGACATGGGAATAGGTTACTTATCCCCTCCACTGTTCACCACCGGATAAGAAGTTATTATCTCTATGCTTAATTAGGATTATTGCCTTTAGTTTGTATCCATATGCTTTGTTATATAACATAAACTAAAAATGGAGAACTTCGGAAGACTTGTAGCTTTTTTTACTTTGCAGGACTGACTTGGAGATTACGGCCCACCAACAAGTCTAATTCTGAGTATTGATCCGAACAATTTTCTTGGACACCAAAAAGCCCACGCTTTGCTGTAACTCAAGAGAGAGAGAAAAAAAAAAAGACCATTTTATCCTACAAATAACTTAAAATTTTTGTTGAAAACCAAAAAGCATTTGGCAGACATCCACTCATAGAAACATTAGACACCCAATGATTTTTTTTATTATTTAAAAGTAAATAGGACTACTGCTCCGAATATTTCAAAAACACAAATGTTACTAAACGAGTCCATGATGTCAAATAAATAAATACATAGTTTACTTAACAGCCTAGCTATTAACCCCCCCTAAGACTGAACGGATTCAACTCAAGAGAGTTGGATAATTGGATCTAAAAGAATTGGGTTGAGTTGACAAGAGGAGCTAAGGAATGGGTTTGGATATAGATTGCTAGGTTAAGACCTAGGCTAATCTACAAAAGCAGGCTGGACTCACGGCAAAACTAGGCCGAACCAAGCCCAGAAAATCGAACAGGGCTCGGATTGTTTAGGCAGACAAAGTCCAAGATCCAGATAGAGAGAAACAAACCGGGGCAAAACGAATTGTTAATGGGCCGGCCCAACAGTAAGGGGAAACGCTTCTGGCCACAGGCCTGGGTCGGCCCGATAGGCAGATCCAAAGGAACCAAGCCCAAACCAGAAAGGACCGGGTATTGGCAAGCAAGTAGAAGTCAGGCCAAGATTTTGGGTCAAGAAACCAGCGGACGATTGAGGAGCTTCCAAACCAATCAATGTCCCGATAGCCACAGAGACGACCACGTTCAAAACCAGAGGAGAATCAAACCAGATTTAAGATAAAAACAATTACGACCGTACCTATCAGATGGAGTTGTCATCCAAACGATTAGGTATGGATTGAGGGCTATTAGTTAGAGCCAAAAGCCCCTTTGCTAGGGTGTGGAATCTAACCGAGTCCAATAAAGAGAGACAAGCTCAGCAGGGGAGATCCCAAAGAGGGATGCAATTGAGTGAGAAGTTTCCATTCTACGATCTAAGAGGAGGATGAAAGAAAAGATCATTAAAGAAAGGTTTGAGACAGTGAGAGCCCATGTAAACTCGATATGCCGTCCCCCTCTTCTCCAGTCATCCTGGTTTGATACATATTGCATGTGTGTGTTCTGAGTTTCTGGGTTTTAAGTATGGCCAACGATCACTGCCGATTTGGGAAGCTCAACGATCGGTTTCTTGGTTTCATCCCTCACAATCTGTAGCAACCAAATCTCCAACTAGGCAACAAAAGCCCAAACTAGAGGAGACGAATAAGACACATGGGCCATGAGCGGAGCAAAAAGCGCACTCGCACGTAAGGGCAGAAATAGAACCTTAGCGCATACGGTGCGTTAACAAAAAGCCAAACGCACGTGTGACGAGAGCAGGGCACGTGGAGGCACGTGTGCATGGGTGAATGCAAGGCACGTGAGCCAGACCCTTGTAAGTGCGAGGAAGCAGGTCAAAGTCTAAGAACCAAAATGCTCATTTTAGTGAAAAACAAACACAGCCAATATTTACTACTCCAATATTTACTATTCTCATGTTAGAAATAGGCCAATTATCGGGCTACTTGCAGCAAAAACCTTTTGGACTCCCATCCACACAAGCCCAAGCAGGGCACTCCTCAGCCGGATCCCTAATTTTATCAACTGAAACCAGAAGGTGAAAGCCGTATGGAAAATTGTTACCACAAAAGAATCATCTTATCACTTAAAAGCACTCACACGGAAAAAAACGAACTTCACCATTTCCACTCCAGTTCAACAAAGATGCATTCCATGATTTTCGTCGTCCACTTATCACTTGCATTCACAAAAGATTGATGTATTTACAAAACAAAGAAGCCCACCAAAATCATGACCACACAATTCCAACGGACAACAACCCAAACACACGAGGAAAATAGAAAGAAAAAGGAATTTGGCTCCCCTTCTTCCCGCAAAGCAGCTTAGCAGCCCCACGGCCCTCCAAAGCCTCTAGTTACTATAGGGCACAGGAAGAAAAATTTTGAAAGAATGATCCTCCATTCTACCGCCCCTTTCCACTGCTTTAAGATCTTTTGGAGCCCATCAACTTCTTGTTTCATACCGAGACGTCAAACTAGGTGGTCTAACTACAAAAATGGCTCATCCCGTACATTCCAAAACCAGGCATATTGAAGGGTGAGCTTCTTCCTGGCATTGCATTAGTCTCACATCGGGCTCTTTTCGAACTTCTGCGATCTTCACAGACCAAGGACCCACAATCCCACTGCGTAGAATGATATGGAGGCCACTTAGAAGAATCTTTCGAACTTGGGCAATCTTCCTGGACCAAGGACCCACAACCCCACTGCGTAGAGTGATATGGAGGCCACTTAGAAGAATCTTTCGAACTTGAGCAATCTTCCTGGACCAAGGACCCACAACCCCACTGTGTCGAATCAAATGGAGACCACTGAGAAAACTCAGACCAATCTGGACACTCGAAACCCCTGGCCATTTCGGCAAACATATTTTGCAACTCTTCCATGCTACAAACTTTGCCCTGTGCAAATACATCATCATATATTAGCATACCAATTAATTTGAGACATGAACGTCCCCACAGTCGCCCTTGAACTACTAAAATTATTAAATTTAGAATCAAACGTGAACTTGATACCATTCTAGCCATCATACTGCTAGACTTCATACTCAAGCGCCTATATAGTTGGCCAACGAGTACAATAACATCACCAATGCCATGTACATGCCCACAGACAGCTGAGAATAGCAACCGAACAAAAATAAAAGGTACAAAGACAAAAGAAAAGACAATAACTACAAAACACCACTTTGTTCCTCAAAACAAAGGTCACATGCTAACATCATTGCCCATCTATTTTGCCCAACATCCGCAGAACATCTATCATAGATGACTGTTCTCTCAAATTAGGTATTATATTCTGAAATAATATCTTCGCAAACCTTTAAATATTGAAATCAACATTCTAAGATCTAATCAAAGGTGACTAGAAAACGAGGAAAAAAGAGAGAAACCCACGACTTAATTTTAAATATCTATAAATTTTAGAACCCCACTCTCTTTTTTCCATTTCTGAATTGTCCTGTTCAAGGCCCGGAGTTGATAATTTGTTCCTCCTCACTTCAGCTCTTTATCACCATTCCTTCAAAATAATTTACTAAAATTGCAGGTATACCATCTTATTATAACACACATTCTAGATGGCAAGAGTCAAACTTATGATAAAAGAAATATTTAATTTGTCCTGATTTTCAAGAATGCCACTAGTAAGTCCCATTAAAACCTCGTAATATCGAAGTTCCTTTCTATTTTCTCGCACTCATTCTTTCAAATGAATAATTCTTCACGTACTGAGGTCCAGAAGAACGCAAAACGGAAGGGAAATTTTGTTCTTTCATATATATTAAAAAAAAAGTATATTAGGTGTATAGGGTCATCTCCCTTCAGTTGCATGTTCATGGCAGACCAAATATAGTTACTGAAATATGAATCAGAAAAAAAAAGAGCAGACAGATGGATATTAGACATAGGAACTATATAATTTCGTGATTCATACCTCTCTCCTAACATCAGCCATGAGAGACATCATTTCTTGCAGAAAATCAGAAAACCCCTGAACAAGATAACGATCAGCCATAACCGTCAGAAATAATGTCAAGAAAGCCCTAACCAACGAACATCAATTCTCTCGAAACACACGACAATATTAACGTAAGGTTACACACCTCATCCACTTCCTCGTCAGGATCATACAGCCCCGCGTCATACATTGCTCTCTTATCCTTATCCGACAATACTGCAGTTTCAATCAAACAGTTAACGATCATCAATAAAATATGGCAAAAGAAATTGACAAGACTGAAAAAAATATATTGCAATATCACGGTTAGGCGATTCGATTTGTTAGAAATCCCATTCACGTACCCGAATAGGCTTCTTGAATTTGCTGAAACTTGTGCTTGGCCTCGCCTAGGAGAGCAGGGCTTCTCGTCCACTTGTCAGGGTGCCATCGCTGCACCGCCAAATATCAATCAGCAACCCACTCCATAAAAATTCCGAGATGTTGTGAAATTTACAACACACCTTAGCACGAAATAAACATTACCGACTTTACACTACACCATCGAAACAAGTTTAATAAAAATTCCACACCATTCCCAAAAATTTAGAGCCAGTAAATTATTTGCATTTTTGGGAAGTTTCTGACATGTATTAATATGAAAAAAAAAAATTAATCACCAATTTAAGAAGAAGAAACACAAATTACCACCTGCACCACCAGACCAATGAACGAGAAACGGAGAGAGGAATTATACCATTGCAAGTTTGCGATAGCCGCGGCGGATTTCTTCGTCGGAAGAGTCCGCAGCGACGCCTAGAACACTGTAATAAGAGCGCGAACTCTCGCGGGACTCCGCCTCCATCTACGGCGAACCTCAGAGCACCAAATGCCGGAGAAATTACAGCGGTCACCGGTAGCACTAAAAATCTTCTGAAAGCATCGTTACGGAAGAAAAAGAGGGTGGATGTGCATATATACCGCAGAAGAAAAGGAAGAAGGCGGTTAGCAGGGCCGACGAGACGCAAGTCGAAAATATCTAAATGAACATTTCTACGGTGGAGATTCGGGAAAGTTCCAGAAGTGATTTGTGGGGGGCCTGACACGTGTGGGATAAGCGAGGGAAGATATTTTCTGGTGCCGTTTGATATTTTGTTTAGAAAATTCTCGCGCCTTTCAGAGGGCTCGCGTTTCCACGTCATGTGACCAATTTGCCCTTGGGAATTTGCGTTTCCTCGTTTTGGCTCGTGACGGAAGCGGTGCAGCTGACAACTGCCACAGCCTTTTGTGAAGAAGTGACGAAGAATATTAGTAATTAAAAAAGTGTAAAAATATATAAGTTGAAAATGATTATAAATTTTATTAAAAACAGTAAAAATTGATAAATTAATATTTAATAAAATAATTATATTAATTATTTATTTTATTAAAATATTTAAGTTATTTGTTCTTTTAATAAGTGATATATATAATTATAAAAATAATTTTTTTGAGTTCTAAATACAGTATTAAAATTATTAAAATTAAAAAATAAATAATTTTTAAAAATCTTGACATTCTTCTTTTAAATGTAATATTATTTTTAATTTAAAAATATAAATTTACTTATTTTTAAATTTTAATTTAATTTTTAATTTAATCAAAGTAAATAATCATACAATAACATCAATTTTTATTCTACTTTATTTTACCTAACTAATTAAAATAGTCATTTTTTTTTTTTGATTGATGAGTATCATATCATCGTAGAAAATGGCATGAAATAAGGAAAGGGTATTTTCGAAATCCTACTAAAATAATTGGCCAATTTAGGAAACGAGCACAGGTTTGCTTTTTGTTTTTTTTTTTTTTTTTTTTTTGAGGGGGGCCTGGAAATGTTTATCCCTTGCAATTAAACCACCGGAAAAAATTAATTCATTTTAAATATATATAATGTCAAAATTTTTTTGATAATTTTAATAAAAAATTAATAATTAAATAATTATTATTTATTACTCAATTTTACTAATAAAATACAATCAAATAATAAAAATTATTTTATTTTAATATTTTTGTCTAGATATATTTTATCTAAATTCATTTTTTTAAACGTACTATTAATTTATTGAACAACTTGCTTATCCGTGTTTCAATAAAAACCTAAAATTTGGGCTCTTTGGCAAATTAAGTGAACATATTGTAAAAATTGTTACACCTAAATAAATCAAATTAGTTAATTTCTTAGATTTTTTTTTCTTCCAAGAGTTAGTTTTTTAGATGTATTAGTTATATAAATTAGAAGTGTGCAGCAAATCCAATCAACCGTGTGACCCAATCAAAATAACATATTTAATTTTGGTTTAAATTAGATTGAGTTAAAATCACATTGACGTCAACTTAGAATATTTCCCAGCTGATATTTTTGGATTAATATCAGTTTGATGATTTATCAAATTAATATAATCTAAATTTATTCAATATAAAGATTATATATATATATATATATTAAACATTAAATTTTGATTTTTGATGGGTTAATTTGATTTCATATTATTTAACTTTCTATGTGTCAATTAGAAGATTTTTCTTTTCCTTACTTCACGGTTGAATATTTAAGATTTATAAATTTAATTGAATTGAAATCCAAATTGATTAAACTGTTTAATTCTTGAAAATTTGACAAGAAAATTTGAACCCATCAAAAGAGTTAATTCAATTTAAGCTACATAACAAAAAAAGGTTTGATTTAAATTTAAAAAACTCAACCCAATATAATTTAATTTTAGATTAAGTTTTGAGATTAAACTGACCCAACCCGAACCATGAACACCACTAACATGAATTAATTATATTCAATTTTTAATTACTTAAACTAGTATCAAAAAAATTGAGGCCAACTGTCTCGTGAATTAAGGGAGGGGAGAAAGAGCATGTTTGTTTAAGTTTTTTTTACAAGAAAATAATTTTTATTATAATATTTTAAATATATTTTGATAAATTTTTAAAAAATAAACAATCAGATTTTTTTAAAGTAGTATGGGTAATTTTTTAAAAATAAATAAAAATACTTTTTAAAGTAAAAAATATTTTTTGTAATTGTATCCAAACGTAAAATAATTTTTACTTTTTATAGAAAATTCTATATTTTCAAATTACATTTTTTAAAAAATTAGTCCAAATGAAACCTAACTTATTAAACACGATCAAATAAAAGATTCCCCCATATAACCCCACTTTAAGGAAGCAAATTTGTTATTTATTTAAGGATTATCACACGAAGTATTTACAATAATATTTTAAATAGTGTAAAATATATTCATATCCTAAAAAATAAGTAAATGATAAATCACTAATGAAAACTCCACTCAATTCGAGATTATCCTTATTCATAAGCCCATCATTTTTAATAATATATTTTCTCTTGAAAACAAAAGAAAAATAAGGATAAATCCTGAGAAGATAAAGGAAAAAGCCATCAGATAGGCATCTCCATCCCCAGCAGAAAACTACAAAGTAGAAACCTAATAGAGTTAGAAACATAATTGCTTTTGATTTAACTTATATGATAAATCACTCTTTTCTTTTGTTAATTAGAAAAAATCAAAGTGGTGTATAGATATAAACCTATATATAACATGAGAGTGACGAGCATAATAGATGTGGATGAGGTGAAATTCCCAAAAAGACCTTAGAGATGAGAGAAATTTACGTCCCAACCAAATCAAGGAGTTTACTTAAGACGGTCAGGAGGAGGCAAAGAGGAGATGTGGCTTTTGGGGGAAGATGGAAGCGTAGCCCTGCGGAACTGGCCCGGAAGGTGGCACAACTCAAAAGTGCTCCGGAGGCTACTTCTTTCTCTTCCCTGTTTATAGTTATACTACTGCTACTGTTTAAGGTCTGACTTTTTTTTTGAGCTTATTTATTTAATTTTCAGTTTCAAAAGCTAGGAAATTAGGACATTGTAATTTGCGACCTTTAGGTTTGCTCATTCATTGTAAAAACATGATTAGTGTTCAGAAAAAAATAAAAGAAGAAAATTTATGTACTGCTGCTATTATAACTAAGTGATGACTTTTTCTCTATTTCTCTCCTTATTTTTATATTTCAATTCTATAAGTAATGCTGTTAACAAATCAAATTTTAATTAAATTAAACAAATCTAAATCTGAATGCGATTACACATTTATATGTCTCATTTTGATCTAAAATTTTATAAGACCAGTGTCTATTAATCTATATCCAAATTTGATGAATAATTTAAAATCTGATAAGAAAATCCGATCTAATAAGAAAAATGTTATTTTTTATATCTAATCTCTTAACTCTATTTCATCAATTATAAAAATTCCTGAATTTTTTGATCTTTCCAATATAATTCCTACAATTTTAAATTTATTAATATTATATATAATTATTAATTTAATAAAAAATATTATTAAAATTCATATTCAAATATTTAATTAATTAGATTGTTTATTTCTATATCCAATCCACTAATTTCAAATTATGTGTATTTATAATTAGATCTACTTTATTGAATATTTTAATCGAATTCGAATTCTAAAATTTTAATTAAATTCATATCAAATTCAAATTAAAATTTATCACATTGACAATCCTACTATAACATATGAGCAATTCTCACTCTACCATATCATATAAAACCCAAGTTCATATAACTAGAAGAATGCATTACCATCTTATTTTACAATCTAATTTATATAAGAATACAAAAGATTTACCTATCTTATCTGCGCTACATAAATTTGCCTGGGAAATCATTCAACAGTATTTAAAGCACTAAAAGTCAAAAAAAATAACAGAGTTTTACCCCAAAAAACTCAAGAAATGAAGAGAGGAACAAAGTACAAGTCAAACCATGCATGCAGCTTAAGACATCCAAATACCACATAAATATATCCATAAACAATATTTGGATAAATGCTGTTGACTATTTGATATAATGAGTACAATAACAATGAAAAGAAAATAATGTTCGCTATACAACTCTCTTCAATTAATCACCCAAACAAAAGAATCAGTTAAATCTTACAAACAAGTCATCAAATATTGTACAAACTATGTTAAACGTGATCTAAGCCCCCTCTCACAAAGAATTGTGTCTACCCTCCAACCGGTGTCTAGCGCACATATATTTTATCTACACTTCACTAGAAGGAATCCCCCAGCCACACAAAAATATTGATAAAAGAATGTGCTAGCTACATGAATTCTTTCTTCGCTCTGCATTTAGGTCCAATTCTACCTGCCTTCATCTTCTAATGGATCAAATTTCAACAGTTACACGGGTTTTAATAGGTTTGAGCTTGATCCCTAAACTCTCGGGGGAGAGCAGCTCAGGTGCTATGCATGAATGGCTTGCAGGACTGGCAGGGTTTGACCCATTACTTGATGTAGTAAGAGGTCGTTGCCGGGAGAAGCCAAACCCCATCAAAAAGAATTCAATGGGAATCAACATTGCATAGGGATGTTCTTCTGTCACTAGAGAGCCACATGACTGAACCTGTTCCAGACAAGAATAAGCTATCCTCCAATTCATCATATCATACATGTAGAAGCATTTGTTAAGCAGCAGCTCAGCTTAGAAAGTAAATAGTAAAGCAGTATTTAAGTTAGATTTTGGAAATTAGGGTTAGGTCATAAGTAGTAAATTCCCTAGTAAATTTCACAATTCAAAGTTGTTGCTCATCCTGACAGCTATTGTCAATCATCAGATTTCGCAGACATTCATGTGCAACAGGAATATGGAAGTCTAATTTGCAAAAGGAATATGTAAGTCTCATGTGCCAGTTAGGAAGTAGACATGGTCAGATATAAATATTTTTGTAGTACTTGGGTACTTGATGTAGAGTGCATATGCATATGCATATGGGTATGCATGCATACTATACAAACATTAGCATCAATACGAATTATGTTAAATCCAATAAACTCGTCAGGTAAACATAATATTGATGTGATTGAGAGGAAAAGAAAAGGATGGGCAAAAAGGAACAAATAAAAGTGAGAAGAAACCACACCTCGACGAGAGCACATATCTTTTTGTCCATTACAGCATTCATATACAATGATTCAGCATGGAATGGACTGCAATCACCCACAAAAATGAGCGTCTTGCATTGCAGCTTATTTAAGCCTTCCGAAATATCATGCCTCCTACATAATCATAACTTTACAATTAAATCATGGGTTTTATTGGATATGAAAATACAATATTATGTACCAAAGAAGAGAAAGGAGGAACTGCTAGCCCTCAGGTATCTCCGAATTCCACCATTTTAAGCTCTTTTCTGCCTAACTCATCCAAATTCTTTTGAAAGGATTAGATCTTGCGAACATGTAAATACTAGTGTTACCACATGCTATGCACAGAAGAACACTCATTCACAAATAGAAAAATCTTTAATGAAAGTAATGTCCCTTTTTCTCCTATAAATTATTTCTAAAACATCCGTTTTTCATACTATTAGAGAATTGAATTATATAGTTGAGAAAATTGAGGGAAATAATTCATTACATCTTTTTTTTTTTTTTCCTATTGCTTATCAGATACTAGCATTTTTAAGAGACATAAACTCAAAAACTCCATAGTCAAGAAAGGTAAGGAAATCTCTCTTTTCCTTAATATTAGTTGGATTTTACAGGTCAAATGAACTTCAAAAAAATTTTTGACCAAGAGATAAATTTAAAATTTTACTTATAATTAACAAATGAAGATAGATATTCTAGCTATTCACAGGTTTAGAAAAAGGTACAAAAGTTTACTCATTAATTGCTTGAAGGAAGCGCATGACATTCAAACTTTGCCTTTCGCCCAGTAACTGTAAACACGGGATGAAACAATATATATTTCAGTTTACAAGAACCTTCAAAAATCTCAAGGATATGGTAGAATGACAATTAAACTGTTGTTACTTCTTTCAGATATTAAAAGATGGGAGAGGAATGGCAAAAACGTTATGCTCAACTTTGTTGTACAAACATCAAAGAAGCAGCAGTTGTCACCATATATACAAACACTGCACTTAAGAATCTACCCTTCCTTCCCAAATTGAGTGGGCAAGTCAATCAACTGAGTTATCCATTCCTTTCCTTCCCAAGGAAAGGGAAGTGGAAAAATTAAAATCAAATGAATTATCAATTGGAAAAAACAGAACCATGCAACTTCTGAAATTACAATCTCTCTTAAGTTTTTGTTTTGACTTCGAAATAAAACCCTTGGTCTTTCAGACAAAAAACAAGAACTAAACATAGAGTTTATTTTGGCTTACCCTTCGACATGTTTGAATTACATCAGATTCTTCACCATGCAAGCTGCACCTAAGCTCCTGCTCAAAATTCTAGTTATCATTAAGTTCATGAAACCAGAAAGTGACCTACAACTTCAGGAGATGCGGACTACCTTACTGAAATATCGATGAAGAAGGCATTCCTTTAATAAACCACACATTCCATAGAAGTATAACAAGTTTAGTAATACCTGCAATAGAGATAATACCAATATAAGATAAATTTCAGGTAAATTCCTCAGATTGCACAAGAAAAAAGGGATTCTTCACTGCCAAGGGGGTGATGCCCATTTCCCATTTATCAAATTAAACCACTGGATTTGGTCATTGGCTCAGTACTTTGTTGGTAATTGATGGTGGCACTTGACATATGCAGAATAGCCTAAAGCATAAGGATTATGCAACCATGAGTTGAATATTTGTTGTGATATAAAGCTCATATAATTCTGGACATTTTGTCTTGACATAAAGCTCATATAGCAAAATCCATCCATCTCAGGTTGTCCTATCACTAGTTGATGCAAGAACTCAGTAAAGATGAATCTAGTGATTCCTGTATCGATTTAAAGGGGCACGTTGCATGATTGTGCTATTTCCTTTTCAGTACCAGCAGGTGGTTCTAGAATGATATCAACATTGACACTCCTCTGTTGCTATTACAATTTTCATTATTTCATCACTTTTTTTAGCCAGGTATGGTGAGCGCCATTGCCATGACAGGCCATGAAAGGAATTCTTCCACAACTGTAAGGATGAAGATTATACTGACCTTGTTATAGAGCCATTCAGTCCATGAAGGGGCTTTGCATATAGGCGAAACAAGGATGAGTCCTAGTACACGTTCTCTATATTTCATCTATAAAGATAGAACAGAAAACAATAAATACAAACAAAAAGACTGTCATATTATGAGGCAAAAATCAGTTGCTCTGGAAACTCACCGCAAATAGAGTAAGAATATAAGCACCAGCAGTCACACCCAAGCAGAAGACCTCTTTAAGCCTGAATGGAAGAAGTCAGAGAATACAAGATAGAACATAGTAGGCATTTCTTTAATCATAGAAAAGGAAATTTCATTGTAAGGGAAGGCAGAAATAAACAAGATGGATTTCTTAATCAAAATACCCATACATCTATTCTTTATTTGTGACAAAAAAGGACTAAATTTGACTATACGAATTGCATCTTTTTTTGTTCATAAATTTCTTTATTCCTGTTCAGGAATATGTGCAGATAATACAGCTTAACTATAAAGTTCAAGCAACAGTATTGTGGGAAACATAAATTTGCTTCTTTTTGGAAGGTACCCCTTGATGGGTTTCCTCAATTCATGGAGGAAGATTTAACCATTCATCCAACCAAAATGCCTCCAAGATCTATTCTTTATTTGTGAAGATAGGCACCTCAAGGCCATGAGGTTCCCCACTTTGCGAGGATTGAGGAAGGTTCATCAAATGCATGCAACCTTAGCCCAGCTTTGTAGAGAGGTTGTCCATAAATTAAACATGCATGAGGCTTCTGTTCTTGTTAATAATTTCATTCCAGCTTATCTACATTGTGTGGGGAATACATTCAGACAATACGGTCCAACTCAACCAAAGATGGGGTCATGGAACATCTGCAAGCCTGCTTACCATAGTCCTAAATCGAGCACCAATGATATCCACATTTAAGAATCAGAAGTTAAAAGTACATTCATACTATAGTCTCCATCAACTAAATTGTGACATAAGGGCTATGTTCCAGAAGTTAAGGACATCGCTAGAAATAATAAATACAAAATACACACACAAAAAAGGAAAAACTTACTCACCCAAAGAAATCGAGCACTTCAGCAACCTGGTCTGCAAGGTCATCCACACTAAGCAAAGGCAAATCTGAAGAAATCACTGCAGCTCCCAACTGCAACAACTCTTAAACAAACGGTAGAGAGCATTCATTAGCACCTACAAGAAAAATCTTGACGAACCTAAAATGGTGAACCCCCAAAATGTTAAAAAAAAAGGCAACAAAAAAGCGAAAAAGAAATTAAAACGATTCAGACCTCATGGCCAGGGGCATCAATATGGTAAATGCAGAAGTTGTGAAGCAGCAAAGAAGCTGCGTCTGGGCAAAAGAAGAGACCCTGGAAGCAGGACGTGTCTGTATGATAACCCAGAAAGCCAGAAGCACATACAAATCAGCCATTTGATATATATTTATATAAGCTATGACACAATAAATCGTTGATTCTATCCTCAATCAAACATATTAACATGAGACCCAATTTCAAGAATGAAACATACAGTTGAGAGCAACATCTGGATATGTTATTAGAGCAGGCTTTTCTTGATCACCACAAACCAAAACAGATATTGAACCTTTGCTCGTTTTAACCAAAGATTCCTACATCAAGAAGACATTCAAGACCAAGAATTAAGAATGTGTGTATTTGCGGCAGCCGACTTCGAGGAAGAGGGGAAATAAGGAAACTCTCTCTCTGGATATGGCTATTACCTGCCCTCCAAGAGGCATCATATCAATATCAATGGAGACGGAATCGCTTGAATCTCCCATTATTCTTTCAATACTTCCCAGTAACAAGAACGAAGCAGCTATGGAGGCTCAATTATCAGTAACAGCTTGCTCAGAGAATGAGCAACATTAGCTTGTCTCTATTGCCGCATTGCACCTCTCTCTCTCTCTCTCTCTCTGTGCTTGCTGGCTCTCAACTATTTTCTCGAACTTCTTCATTTTAAAAAAAGATTTCTGAATTACGATAATGCCCTTGAGCGAATCGAGAATTACAGTTGCAGGCTTTCCCTCCTTGGACGCATTTGCCAAGTTTATCTCTCGTCGACTTTTTTTGAATTATTGTGCCTCGTACATTTCTGTTCAACAGAAATGACCGTTGGACTGGACAAACGGCAACCCAGGGAAAAGTTTTGGCAAAATTTCGAAAATACCATTCTGATTTTTTCTTTTTACAAATACAAAATTAATAGTCTCAAGTGCTTCGACCAAAAATAAAACAACTATTTTTAAAATAGTAATTATTTTTCACATAAAAATAAAAATAATTTACTTTTTAGTCATAACAATGTGATTAAAAATATATTTGAAATTATTAACTGTTGTGGAATTTCTCAATTTAGAAAATATAAACATAAAGATATCATATCATTTTTGTTTTATTTGTAACAATTATTTTTTTGTGTTTGCCAAAATTTTGTAAATTAAAAACAAGAATATAAGAATTGAATTATTTACAATTTCAAAAAATTATGTTTATTGCCAAAACTCACAGAATTTTAATAATATAAAATTCCTGGCTGTATTTAAAAAAAAAACTCATTCCACTTATGGCAAATAAGCCTTTTATTTTTATTTTTCTTCAAAAATAAATAATTAATTATTCTTAATTTTTTATAAACATATTTGCTTTAATTTAATAATATTTTACTCATTAATATATTTGTATTTTTGTTTCAAATTTGACTTTATGTTAATTTTTTTAAAAATAAATTTATGATTTATTGTAAGTAGGAGGAATATCTGAAATTTATTGTGATTAAATCCATGCTAACCAAGTTATTTGTTATTTTGGAATAAATTTCTGAAAAATAATAAAATACATGGAGAAAAAAAATTAAATTGATCATTAAAAAATTCGTATTCCTAAAAAGCAATAATTAAATTTTGGCGTGAACAAAATTGTTGTCCTTTTTACTGCCCACGTGCTGCACTATCGGAAAATTAACCTCTAGTAACAACGGTGTCGTTTTGATGTGCGAAATCGCGTCCTCAACTTCGCAGGTGTCTCGGAATGTGGGTACAAATTTGGGATTACGTTATGGCCTTTTTAGTAATTTAATGGTGTCGGCGTTATACAGCTGTGTGACACCTGGAGGCCACGAAGAAAGAATACTTCGCTGCTATGATATTATACTGCGCAAGCGCATCGTCTGCCATCTGCACTGTCTCGATCATCTTTCATCAGAATATCTCCAATAACTAAATTTGGCTAAATAATCTGAAATTTTTGAATTCCAGAACGGGCCATTTGGAAGTCAAAAAATAATAATATTTAAAAACTTATATGCTTCCAATTAATATTTAAAAAATTATAAATATATAATTACAAATGCCCCATGAATTACCACTTATTTTTTAGTATACTAGGTGATTAAATAAAATTATAATTAGATAAAAAAAGGTTCAAATAATAAATTTTTTAAAGATTTATTTAATAATCTGAATTTAATTATTGTCATCTCTCCGTTTTTTGGGTAATAAAATTATAAGAAATGACTTGTCAATAAACGAATAAACCCAAGAAAAATTATTTCTATCCTTCTTACCTATTAATTTTATAAACTTATATAAATATGTTGAATTAATTTGGTTCAGAAATTAATTTTTTTCATAAAATTAACTTATTTTAGGTACCATGAAGTTGCATTCAACAAAACTTATTTGGGAGGTTTCATTCCTTGAATAATTTGTGTTTGAAGGGCTATAAAATAAATAAAAACTGAGCTCTGCTTTAAATAACGTCAAGCAGAAGGGGGAAATAGTCAAAAAATGAAAATGCAAGAGTGCATCTCCGTGAAGTTCCCAAATCAACTCTGAGAACCACTCAATTACTCGAGATTCAATTGGTCTGGTAAGCCTGAAAAGCGTTCGCACGCTTTGAGCGCCAATCACGGAAGCCTTCTCCATTTCTAGATGACAAAATTACCCTTAGAGTAGTCAATCAGTCAACTCTCCACACCGCCTAAAGTAAGAGGACTCCGCGCCGCGGTGCAAGTATAATAAAATAAAAAATAATTTTTTTAAAAAATATTACTCATCTGGAAAAAGTAATAACATTATTAACCAATATTAAATAAAAATATCTATAAAAAGCAACTAAAAAAAATATATGTATTTATTTATAAATACATTTCTTATTTCTACTTACTTTCGAATAATTATAAGAATGTTATAAATTAGTAAAAATAACACATAATATAATTATTCAATTTGTCAATCATGTAATATATTAATTATATATCAATTATCGATCGGTGCTGTTTCGAGTGAAATAATACCTCTCATCAAACTCACTTTAGAATGTCCATCATCAAATTCACTTTATAAATTAATATTAATATACTGTAGGAGTCAAATAATACCCATTACCAAATTTACTTTATTATACCCATCGTCAAACTCACTTTATAAATTAGCATTGGTGACTTATTAATATAATTTTATATTTTTTATATATAATACAAGACAAAGACCAATATCATTACAGGTACGCATTTGTACGTATCCTCACTAGGTTCCATAAAAATTAAAATAGTCGAGGAATTGAGGTTGCCCTCGTTGTCCTGCGGATTTTAGTATTTTAATTATTTAATTCAGAAAAATGAGGCCCAAGCACTCTCCAATCAGTAGCAGCGACAAACGATGACTATGAACATGTTGAACTCCACGCGTACAAACGGGATCCATATTTTTTTATTATATTTATTTCTCTATATTCAGAGAGAGAGAGAGAGAGAGATAAAATGCACTAACAAATTTAAACTATTATATTTTTCTTACATAAAAAATATTGTATTTTAAATTCACGTACCTCACCGTCCTTTTTAATGAGATTTGAGCGCGAGTAAGAGACCTATTTCCTCGGGAGTCATCATTTAAAAGGCTTACATTGGGGATTTACATGTTGGGCCTCAGATCCGGCAGGTATAAAACATTATGTGGCATCCCTTACTTCGGAGCTGCAGTGGTGAATCTATAAATTTTCTTCTGGGTGAGTAATATTTTTGTCTAAGAATACTATTTCCTTAACACGAGCTTTCTGAACGGTCCAGATGGACCTGACTGCCACAAATGCGTGCATGGCACCCGCAGAACTGTCATCGTAATTTCACATTGAATAATATTACATTTATTTATTAAAAAATGCTGTCAGATATTTTTACTTGATAAAAACAAAAGCTTCAAGACCCGCACGAGAGAGAGAGAGAGAGAGAGAGAGAGAGATCATGACAGCCAGTAGTAGGGGAACTGCTAACAAGCGGGAAGCTGCTTCCCGAATCATCATTCTTATTTCGAGAGTTTACGTTCTTAAAGACATAAAATAGTGGCCCTTTACATGAAACCTGGCCTCTCCTAGAATGGACGCTTATCAACAGTCAAACAAGGGGAAGCTACGTCAATTCTATCATATTCCTAATCATACTAATCCTAATAATAATACAAAGGGAAACCCGGAGCTTCCAGTTCCCCGTAGAACCTAGAGACATAAGCTTGGCTTGTGGTCATGAGTTGGACTCCGAAGGTTCATAACCATATGGATTTTTGCTGGCCCAGTTCCACTGATCACGGCACATCTCTTCAATTCCGTATTTGGCCCTACGGCAACACAGAGAAACAGACAATATAGCTAATTGCATAATATAACGGAAAAAATCAATTACTTTTCTACCGAGTAATTTCTATAGCTTTACCCATAGCTTAATGAAACATTTTAGTATCAGATTTCAATCCTCAGAGGGCTGCTCCCCTGACATTTTCCATTCTTTTGGGAAGTATTTCCAACGCTCAGACAAGGAACCAGGACCTCACCACAAGCATTCAAACCAAAATTACAGAAAACAATTTTTTTACTCGGTGATTTGCAAAGGTTTAACACTTACTTCCAGTTCAACTCTCGTTCTGCCTTCTCTGTTGATGCATACACAATCTCAGCATCCCCAGGTCGCCTCCCAGAGTACACCAGAGGAATTTTCTGGAATAAGTGGAAAAACATGTCCAAACAAATGAGTAATGTAAAGAACCAATCAATAAATGCTGGAGAGATTACAAATCTGAATATGTCATCCAGTAGCAGATTGTGACATTGGGAATTGATCACACTAAGGCAAAAAGAGCTAAAGCCCAATTTTCACCAGGATTCATGTATTCACTTAGACATTTTAGTATGGAAATAAGAACTCCTGTAAATAAGGCTTTGCAAGAATCAGTTCTAAATACCATGGGGAGAACTCCAATCTTCTCCCACTGAATGCTTAGTCTTTAGTCTTTATAAGGATATAAAATAGAAGGAAAAAAAAAAAGAAAAGAAAAACGCATGCGCGTGCGCGCACACACACACACCAAGGAATGAACTAGATAAGCAGAAGTAAAATAGGTTCTCGAAAAAAACAATGTTCAAAAAAGAAGTCCATTTAATATAAGAACAGATGGCAGTGGGAATGCTTAAACAAACAAGTTCAACAATTCAGTACCTTTCCACTTGCTTTCTCAAACGCCGCTACCATTTCCAATACAGAGGTTCCTTTTCCTGTTCCTAAGTTGTACACTTCACAACCTACAGTAAACACAAAATTATGATGCAAAGTTTATGGTTATAATCACTCCATCAAGACTTTCCCGACAGCTATTACATTCAAATGACATGGAACAACTTTTGAACCAACTTTACACATGCATGCAGGTAACCTGCAGATAAGTGTCCAATAATTGTAAGCTGTAACCAAGGAATTTTTTGGTGAATCAACCCATTCCCTATCAGTTCTAAAGATTTTCAGTATTTGAAATTCCCAAGGAAAATTTTGGTATGCGTAGTTTAACAATGTTGGAGAACATATAATTTCTGTCTTCTTGCTATCATAACTAAGACATTTTTGTGCAATATGGATTAAGGAAAGCCATAAAGGGAATTGGCATGGTCTATGTAATTCATATAAAAGATATAGAACCTTTTGCCTTACAAATTATAATGGATGGTCAGGAAAGGGTTTAGTTAAAGTAGACACAAGTATTATAATGCATTACTAGTGCAAGACCTTAGCATGCATAGGCTGAGATAATATGAGTCATTTCTAACAACAGTATAGCAAAGGTTTCCACATAAGTTTTTATGCCTTCATACAAATTTATAACTTTATACGTTGCAATTGTCATTCAAGAAACATGTGTTCCATTTCCAGTATAACAGCAACTAGAACCATCACTCTAATACCATTAGTCGTTGCAGAGCCTTACTCTAGTTAATATTTATTCTAATCACAAGATGCAACAGAGCAACTTTATTCATTGAACCATAAAATAAAATGGAAGAGAAGATTACAGTCTCATGGCACAGACCTATAGAAGGATCAGATAATTTGTCCAATGCAGCAATATGTCCATCAGCTAAATCCACAACATGAATATAGTCACGCACCTGAAAATAAATCATGCCACTAGTTGATCTTCTAATAATTCAATAGAATTGATACGTGCTGAGAGCAACAAGCCATTTTTTGCTACTTATTTCTATTAAATCACCAAATAACAAATAATCAATGCAATCATGAGAAGAGGGAATCCATCCACATGCATAGTTTAGATGGGTTCTAGAGCATGATTTCAGCATAGATTAAACCCTTTAGAAGCTTTTGTAGCACATTTCCACAACCAGTATTTGCTACACATATTGTAACTTGAATAAGCAGTTTATCTCAATGGCTACTTAGAGAAATAAAGGTGAATTTGTTTTGGCCATGCATTGGTACATGGACTGGTATCCAATGCAAAAAACATTTCCTGACTAATAACACAGATGAACAATTTTACTTTTTCTCATAGAACTTGAAGTCCCAAGAAACAAACAAGTTGAAAAGGGAACAATAAAATGATGAGAACGGAGAAAGCATACCCCTGTACCATCCTTTGTTGAGTAGTCAGTTCCAAATACTGTAAGTGCAGGCCGCCTGCCAACAGCTACTTGTTGCACAAAAGGCATGAGATTGTTAGGAATACCACGAGGATCCTCACCAATGTGGCCACTTTGATGTGCACCAACAGGGTTGAAGTAACGCAGCAATATGATTTTCCATTGTTTGTCTGCTTGGTAGATATCGCGGCATATATCCTCAATTATGAGCTGAAAGTAACAAGACCTTTAGATTGAAAACTTCAGACACTATAAATGAAGATACAATATAATATATGTGTAAAGAGACAAAATGCAACAACAAAAATCCATAAGTATTTTGAACCATGGACCACAAAGTTTGAAGAAGCAGAAAGCTAGAAACCTGCAGCTCAGACATGAAGAAATGCCACCACGCCACCACCCCCCCAAACCAAAAAAAAAAAAAAAACGAAAAAGGTTCTAAAGAGTATAATCTAATCAGAAAGAGTAGAATCTAATCACTACTTAGGATATCCAAAATTCTCAAATATCATGATAAATAATAATCCAAGCTACTTGTTCATAGTTCCAACTTAAAAGTCTATATAGGCAATTAAAGATCATGACTTTTAAATATAGAAAAATGGAAATGAATTATTCCTAATCCTTGGTTCTTATTCTCCATGCATAAGTACCTTCAGTAAGCAAACATGAGTCTTTATACATGATAAATTTACCAAAATATACCTTAGTCCGTCCATATGGATTTACAGCAGCAAGGGGAAACTCCTCTGTGCAAGGTACCTCTTTTGGCCAACCATAGACAGTAGCAGATGATGAAAATACAAGCTGAAACATTTTGGAAAATCAAATCTGCCAATTAAATCAAATATGGAGGGGGAGAGAGAGGATGCAAACTACAGTATCAAGAAAAATTGCAAAGAGCCAAATGAATCAAATTACAAGGTCGGAGAGACAAATTTTACTAAAAAATAAAAACACCCTAAAAAATTTTACAGAAGTTCAGTTATATAATCCTCACTTTTCATATGGAACCAATACTTATCAATTTTTTGTCTTTCCATTTTCCTTTTCCTCCCATGGTCATGCTGATTTAGAAACCATTCAGGAAGGGGGCAAATAAACATTAAGCTATCATTGGTTCACAACATATCCAGCCGATTTAGGGTATGAAGGAAAATTTGCCAGCACTATAATAGCTCTTAAGCCAAATAAATACAGGATCTAGAACAAGTATATAGTTTTCATATATTCTGCCAAAAGCTCCAGTAAAGGAATGAGAAATTGACCCTGAGCCAGGACTACTTTCTACGTAAGTAATTGATTAGATTAGTGCTTGTGAGTTGTGGCAGGTTGGGCTACATCATATTTACCACTTATCTAAGATTACAGAGTGAAGACTAACTGCAATTTTCAGCATGTACATGCACTGGATATGAGAGAACTTGCACAGATATGGAAAGATTATTAGTGCAGCAATATAATAATCAAACCCAAATGCCCTAAAATACAAGAATTATATTTTATCTCGCGTATAAAAATCTCTTATTAATTAACTTCACGTCATTAGAGCTAAGTGATATAAGGCTAATCGAATACAAAAGCACAAGAATACACCTTTTTGCATCCATGGGCAGCCATGACTTCCAACAAAGTGATTGTACCAATAAGGTTGTTGTTATAATACATCAACGGTTTTTGCACACTTTCACCAACTGCTTTTAGCCCGGCAAAATGGATGACCGCATCAAACCTTCAGTCAAAACATTAAAGAAACAAATTGTTTAACTCAACACACCTTTGTTTCTTTTTCCTTTTTTTTTTTTTTTTGCATGTGTGGGGTGGGTTTGGGGAGGGGGGGGTGTTGGTGGATGATGGTGGCGGTGGTTTTAGAGGCATAATACTACTAAAGTCAGGTGGAGAATGCCCTCAAAGCTCCTGCAAGGGGATGAAGAAGATGACCACTTGAGCTAGAGCTTTGGATCTTTAAAGTCAATAAAAATTTTTAACCACAAATTCAACTAGTTATCCATATTGCTAACTTAAAGATTACATTTGAAAGAAGCCCAAATTAACAATTGACCTATACTTAGTAGGTTAGTTTAACCAATTTCCTTCAGTTGGACCCAACTGACCATTAAATGATTCATTTGGACCATATCAACCTAAATTTCGCTAAAGGATGTGGCTGCATCCCTGCACACACCATCACAGCACTAACATGGTGGTTTTTTCCCCTTTATGCACAGATGGCCCTGATGTCTATTTAAAAATTAAAAATAAATAAATAAAACTTTAGGGAAATTATCACTCACTTTGCACACCTCTCTCTCTCTCTCTCTCTCTCTCACACACACACACACACGTCTGTATTTCTTGTAGCAACTGCATGAACCAGCATTGAAGATGCACCAACAACAGCTTCCCACGGTGCTCCTGCAGCCCAGGAAGAAGAATTCATAGACCTTTTCCAGCGGCTCTGAGTGCAACAAGTCCACAACTAGCTGGAGCTTCTTCAAGGAGAGGAGCTCAGCTGTTCAGTGCTTGCATAGGTGAGATATTTGGTTGAGTTGTGTGCGTGCATGTTGTGATTGCTGTGCATGTAAGCTGTGTGAGATTTCCATATGAGGTGTGTAAGTGGGTTGTATGCATGTTGTGTGTGTTGTATTTGCTGTGTGTTTGAGCTACCAACTGCCAATGCAGCTTTCAGTGCGGCTTCCACTGCAGATTCTTCTAGGCCAGCAAGACAAGAGGCAGCCCGGGGCAGCCATGGCTTCAGCCAGACTATTTTCCTGTATGAGCTCCAACATGAGTTTGGTTATTGTGGCTATCAACATCCCCCACCATCTATTCATCCAATCCACGCACCAGTTGGATAGTTCAATTTGGGTTGATTTGGCCCAATTACAACTATTTAATTGTGAATTTGGATCAATAAAAGAAAAGTTGTTAAAGTAAAGTTCAGGGGTCAATTTGGACTTTGCCATTGCAAACTGATTTTCTATTATAACAATTGTTTTGTTTGTAGTCTATGATTCTTTGTTTGGCAAATGCCTTATACATGCTCCTGACATTAACTTATTACCTCTTGGACCTCAGAATCTAAATTGTTGGCCGAAATTTTAATGGAACTATGGAAAAGAATATGTAATGCCCAACTCCTATAGCTTAAATCAAACACAAGCTTGCAAAAGGAAACTTGATTTGCCTTTAGCTCCAATGTGAGTGAAAAGTCAATGACAATTGGAAGATAGTACTGTATATGCACATAGGAAAGATGCCTACGGATAAAAAGCAGTAAAAAGTCAATAAAAACTTAAGAATAAAGAAAAACAGTGGACCCCATTTACTTGAATTCTAAAGACCAGTACGTTAGGCTTTGCTTCCTTGGAAACATAAAGCAATGAAGTGATGACTTTATTAAAAGATAGGGTTAAACTTACTTCTCTGAAGCAAAAAGCTTCTCAAGTGCAGGCTTATCCCGGAGGTCCATCTGCAAGTGAAAGCAGAATATTATCAACCGAAAAGAAAATTTTTGAGAAGTAGAATTATAAGCATTGAAGCATATGTCCAGTGTCCATGAAATACGAATTAAGACATGTTAGGAAATTGACGGGTCCGATAAAGTAAAACTACGGCTAATAAAATGAGATGAAATAACAAAATAAGAACACAAGGATTTACGTAGAAAATCCCCCAAATAAATTTAGGGTAAAAACCACGGACAAGAATTGAAAATTTTCACTATGAAGAAAAATAGGAGTTACAACTTCTCTCTATTTAAGGAGATAAACAATACTAATCTCTTTTAAATAGGAGAAAAACAAAACTCTCTCACTTTCTCTCTCTATTTTATTCTAGCTCGGTGGCTTGGGATGATTTGAAGAAGTCATTCCCTCCTCTATTTATAGGCAAGGAGAGCCTTGTGCCGTCCGCTCACCATCTGCATTTGTCAACAATGGCCTATTATGTGCAGTACTTTGCTTCTTCCTTTTTTATATTCATTTGTCAAATAAATGGGCTGCCACAAGAAAACAAGTGAGGCTGTAGCCTCCAATCATGAATAAATGGGGTTGGACCCCACAAATCTCCACCTTGAAGATTTGATTGAACATCAATCATATCTTTACACCATTCTTTTTATCTTGCCATTTCTATGTTATTTACGTCGTTGTCAGGCCACAATAGTGGATCCTCTACATCAGAAAATAAGATAGATTATTATTTACTCTTGAAAGGTACTAGGTACTATTCACGTGTACAGTCACTATTCAAGTGAAATAGTGGGAGTCCTGATAAAAGTAATGGCGGCAAAAATTTGAGATAGAAAAGTTCAACGGGAACATTTCACACTATGGAAATTAAAGATAAAGGCTATCTTGACAAAAAATAATTGCCGACAGACTATAAATAAAAGGCCAGAGAATATCATAGATGAGAGGTGAAAGGAGATGGAAAGGAATGCTGTTGCAAATCTTCATCTTACATTAGTAGATGAAATATTGACAAGCATAGAAGAGAAGAATATAGCAAAGGAGATTTGGGATCATCTCACCAAACTGTATGAGGTCAAATCACTCCACAACAAAATTTTCCTTAAAAGTAAACTCTATACCCTACGGATGGTGAAATCTACTTCGGTGATAGAGCATATAAATTCTCTGAATACTCTATTTTCTTAACTCACAGCATTGGGATATAAAATAGAGTTATAAAGCGTGCTGAGCTTTTACTTCAAAGTCTACCTGATTCGTATGATCAACTTATCATTAATCTGACAAATAAAAAATCTACGGAGCTCCTAGTCTTTGATGATGTTGCTGCTGCTGTATTAGAAAAAGAAAATTGACGCAAAAACAAAGAAAGCAAGTAAATGAGCTCGCAACAGGCAGAGGCCTTAACGGTGACAAGAGGAAGATCAACGAAACGTGGCCAAAGTGGGAGTCACGATCATGATAGATCTAAATCTAGGAGTAAGAAGAATTTTAAATGCTACAATTGTGGCAAGAAAGGTTACTTGAAGAAGGATTGCTAGAATTTAAAGAAAAATTCCAATCCTCAAAGAAATGTTGTAACCACAGCAACAACAACAACGGAAAGCAGAAAAAGACTTGCAGATATATGTTTTCTCGACTCAGAAACTACATTTCACATGACCTCTTGGAAAGAATGGTTCCATCATTATGAACCTATCTCTAGAAGATCTGTGTTAAGTTACAACGATCATACTTTAAAGATCGTCGGTATCAGAACCATCAAACTAAAAATGAGTGACGGGACAGTTCGCACTATTCAAGAAGTGCGGCATGTGGAGGGCCTGAAGAAAAATTTATTGTCTTTGGGGCAACTAGATGATCTTGGTTGCAAGGTTGAAATTGTAAATAAGATGAAAATAATTCGAGGCATGTTGGTAATAATGAAGGAAGAAAAGATAGCTGCAAATATGTACATGCTAAAGGGAGAGACATTACAAGAAGCAAAAGCATTAGTTGCATCAAGCAGTTCAAATGAAATAATTGCTACAATATGGTATCAAAAACTTGGCCATATTTCCAAGCACGGAATGAAAATTCTTGCCAAAAAAAAGTTACTTCCTGGTCTTACAAAGGTATCTCTACCCTTTTGTGAGCATTGTGTCATGAGCAAGCAGTATCAGCTGAAATTTAACACATCAAATTTTAGAAGTAAAGTTACTCTAGAATTAGTGTATTCTGATGTATGGCAAGCACCAGTTACATCTCTTGAAGGAGCAAAGTATTTTACATCTTTCATTAATGATTATTCTAGAAGATGTTGGGTGTATCCTATTAAGAGAAAGGCAGATGTGTTTCCAATCTTCAAAGTTTTCAAAGCACGGGTTCAACTTGATTCTGAAAATAAGATCAAGTGTTTGAGGACAAACAATGGAAGTGAATACACTAGAGACGAGTTTGATAAATTTTGCAAGCAATAAGGTATTAAAAGGCAATTCACTACAGCCTACACTCCTCAACAAAATGGAGTGGCAGAGCGGATGAACAGGACCTTGTTGGAAAGAGCAAAAGCCATGTTGAGAACTGCAGGCTTAGGGAAGGCTTTCTGGGTAGAAGCAATCAAGATCACTTGCTATGTAATAAATCAGATTCCATCAACCGCAATTAAGTTGAAAACACCAATGGAGATGTGGACCGAGAAGCCAGTCGATTATTCAAACCTCCATGTATTTGGAAGTCCTGCATATGTAATGTACTCTGCTCAAGAAACTACAAAACTAGATACAAAATTTAAGAAATGCATATTCTTGGGATATGCTGATGGAGTGAAAGGGTATCGCCTGTGGGATCTCATTGCCCACAAATTTGTAGTCAGCAAAGACATTATATTTGTAGAAGAAAAACTACAAAAGGAAGACGGCTGCACCACAATGATACATGTAGAAAAGAAGTCTAAACAAAATGAATCGTCTGAAGTAACACCTAAACACGATGAAGTAGAACAAATTGAGTCTGTGACTCAAGAAGTGCAACGGTCAAATCGCACAACAAGACTGCCAAGTTGGCACTCAGATTATGCGATGGGGAGCAATGTTGCATACTGTCTTTTAACAGAGGATGGGGAGCCATCAACACTCCAAGAAGCAATGAGTACCTCAGATACATCTCAGTGGATGGCAGCAATGCAAGAAGAAATTGAAGCCTTACACAAGAATAAAACTTGGGAACTTGTGCCACTGCCGGAAGGAAGAAAAGCCATTGGTAATTAATGAGTCTATAAAATTAAGAGACACAGTAATGATGATCTGGAGCGGTATCGTGCTAGATTGGTGGTGAAAGGCTATGCTCAGAAAAAAGGGATTGAATTCAATGAAATATTTTCTCCTGTCGTTCGGCTTACTACAGTACGAGTAATGCTGACGATATGTGCTATGTTTGACTTACATCTAGAGCAGCTAGATGTGAAGACAGTTTTTCTTCACGAAGATCTTGAATAAGAGATCTACATGCTCCAACAAGAAGGTTTTGAAGAAGATGGAAAAGAGAACTTGGTTTATCGGTTAAACAAATCTTTGTACGGTTTAAAACAGGCGCCAAGGTGTTGGTACAAGAGATTTGATTCCTTCATAATGAGTCTTGGATACAGAAGACTTAATGCAAACCCTTGTGCATATTTCAAGAAGTTTGATGAGAATGATTTTGTTATCTTATTGTTGTATGTAGATGACATGTTGGTAGCAGGCCCCAACAAAAATCGTATCAAAGAATTGAAGGCTCAATTGGTTAAGAAATTCGAAATGAAGGATTTGAGACCAGCAAACAAGATTCTAGGGATGCAAATTCACCGAGACAAAAATAATAGGAAAATTTGGCTTTCTCAAAAAAATTATTTGAAAAAGATCTTACGACACTTCAACATACAGGATTGTAAGTCAATTTCTACCCCACTTCCTATTAATTTCAAAATATCCTCCGATATGTGTCTTAGTTGTGAAGAAGAGAGGATGGAAATATCTCGAGTACCGTATGCATCAGCAGTGAGAAGCCTAATGTTCACTATGATTTGTACAAGGCCAGACATTGCACATGCAGTGGGAGTGGTTAGCTAGTACATGGCGAATCCTGGTAGAGAGCATTGGAATGCTGTAAAGAGAATCCTAAAATACATTAAGAGAATCTTTGATGTTGCATTATGTTACAGAGGATCAAACTCTATAATCAAAGGATATGTTGACTCAGATTATGCAGGTGATCTTGATAAAAGTAAGTCCACTACAAGTTATGTGTTTGCACTTGCTGGTGGGGCTGTAAGCTAGGTTTCAAAAATGCAATCAGTTGTAACTACATCAACAACTGAAGTAGAATATGTAGTAGCTACACAAGCCAATAAAGAAGCAATATGATTGAAGTTAGTGTTTGAGGAATTTGGGCACAAACAAGAGAAGATTTCTATATTTTGTGATAGTCAGAGTGCTTTGCATCTTGTAAGGAATCCAGCCTTTCATTCAAAAACAAAACACATACAAGTTCAATATCACTTCGTTCGTGAGAAAGTGGAAGAAGGAACTATGGATACATAGAAAATTCACATAAAAGACAACCTGGCAGATTTTATAACAAAAGTAGTCAACACAAGCAAGTTTGTTTGGTTTCAATTCTTTTGTGGCCTGACAGAGACATAAGCAACATGGAAATGGCAAGATAAAAAGAATGGTGTGAAGATATGATTAATATTCAATCAAATCTTCAAGTGGGAGATTTGTGGGGTCCAGCCCCATTTATATTGGAGGCTGCAGCCTCACTTGTTTTCTCGTGACAGCCCATTTATTTGACAAATGAATATAAAAGGAAGAAGCAAAATATTGCACGTAATAGGCCATTGTTGACAAATGCAGATGGTGGGAGGACGGCACAAGGCTCTCCTCGCCTATAAATAGAGGAGGAATGGTTTCCTCAAATCATCTCAAGCCACCGAGCAAGAATAAAATAGAGAGAGAAAGTAAAAGAGTTTTTTTTTTCTCCTATTTAAGAGAGATTAGCGTTGTTTATCTCATTAAATAGAGAGAAGTTGTAACTCATATTTCTCTCGTAGTAAAATTCTTCTATCCTTACATGTGATTTTTACCTTAAGTTTATTTGGGAGTTTTCCACGTAAATTCTTGTGTCCTTATTTTGTTATTTCATCTCACTTTATTAGTTGCGGTTTTACTTTATTGGGCCCATCAATTTCCCAACAAGGCAGATGGTGGGCGAACGGCACAAGGCTCTCCTCACCTATAAATAGAGGAGGGAATGGTCTATTACGTGCAATACTTTGCTTCTTCCTTTTATATTCATTTGTCAAATAAATGGGCCAGAAAAGAAGTGAGGCCGCAGCCTCCAATCATGAATAAATGGGCCTGGACCCCACAAGACATAGCCCAGAGATTTTAGAAATGATTCAATAAGCCGAACAGCTTGGTTGAGTTTGAGATCTCCAGCGGTTAATTCAATAGCTGCTACTCTGCATTAGAAACTGATTTTATGCTTCATTCACGCCGTTATTGATACGAGCTCACAGTAAAAGCAAATAATTTAAACTTGTACTGAGGGAATAATATTTATATTTTACATATCAAAGAATTAACAAATCTGGATTGACTTTATAAAAATAAAAAATTAAAAAAAAGAGTACGAAGAAGAAAGAAAAAGAATTTGTTGAAGTGAAACGGTAAATATAAACTGTGAGACGGAATAGAGCCGCTTCTACAGCAGCAGACTTTAAACACTTGCCCATCATGTGATATGCATAATACAACAATCAGTCCAAAATTCAATTTCCTGGAGCAAAAAGGAATCAATAATACCAATTGAACATCAAAACCCAGTACTCGTGTACATACGTATAATAATCAACCGTTGCAAAACAAAACCAAACAAAAAAAAAAAGAAACGACAAACAAATTCGAATCGACCGCACAGCTGGACACAAAATTCGAAGCACAAGAAGGCCAAATCATCGAACACTAATCATCTCGAAACTTCTAAAAAGCAAAAGGCCTGAAATCACGGAACCAAGCCAGAGAACATATACATACTCGGCCTTGCATAGACACCCAAAATGAGACAGAAATCAAGCTGGTACTAACCTGATGGAAAGTGAGGTTAGGTCCATGTTCGCCAGCGAGCTCCTGTACGCGTTTGACTGCGACAGGAGAGGAATTGTCGAGATTGTCGATGACGACGACCTTGTAACCGCCCAGCAGCAGCTGAAGGACCGTGTGGCTCCCAATATAACCAGCACCGCCGGTCACCAGTACGTTTTGCGCCATAGCTTCAGAAAAACAATGCTTACAACTGTAGATATGCGTGGGTGAGAATATAATTATGCTTATGCTGTACAATATGTATATTTATAAAGATTGAAGGAGGAGGGAAGAGCCGTGGGGGGGCGCTGGGAGAAGGTAGAGGAGTCTAGAGACCCTGATCTGAGAAAACGAGGAGAACTGATGTGGCGAAAAAGCGACTTTAACAGATGAAACAAGGTGGAAAGATACGTGGGGGCGAGAAATTTCAATTTGAGCGGTGAACTGCCTGCGCGACTTTATTTTAGTGGGAATTTTTCTTTTGGAATTTATTGGAAGAAGAAGAACAGGGCTGCCACGTGGCTGGGATAGTCCGTCAGATTCTGATATGAATTTACCATACTACCCTTAATCTCCGCGCTCTCTTCGTTCTTTGGTTTCATGCTTACCCTTTTACCATTTTTATTATTGGTGAATTTCTAAGCCGCTAACTGAATGGAATTAAATTGAATAATTTAAGTTCAAATTATTTATATATTTAAATGCCTTTCGTAACTAATTATGTATAGTGACCAAGGTTAACGCAAGTGCTGAAATAGTTAAAAAAAATTTAAGGGTAAAAGATTTGAGTCATGATCTATTGTGATAATGACAGAAAGTAAATAATCTCAAATTAAATTTAGAGATAGGTCTTAATTAACATAAATTAAATTATTTTTTAAATAGAGATATGATAAATTAAAGTTTAGGGTTGTATGAAATAACAAAATAATATTGAAATTTAATGCTTTATTATAAGGCAATCGGTTGCATAGTGCTAAAATTGACCGCCCTTACGCCAGAAGTCCGTACAATTTCCTGGGAACTGTAATTTAATTGATCGGGATCGAGAATTCCGTATAATTTTATTTGTTATTTCTTAAAATAAAATTAATTTAATACAATAAGTTTTTTATTATAAAACATATATTCTTTACTGGTATTTATATTTAATATCAGTTGACATTTTTTTATTTTATTAATTAAAATTAAATAATAGGCATGCGCTAATGGCAGTCTCTTTCCAATTTTTTAAAATTTTCCACGTGTCATTTTTAAGATAATTTTATTTTGTTCAATTTTAATATATAACTTAAAAATAATATTAAATATGAGAGGGGTTATGATGGGATTTTATTACAATTTTAGGTTTAGTTTTGAGAAAATTATTATTTTTGACATAATCAACCGGATTCATTCACTTTACTCTTTTCTTTTCCTTTTCTTAAGCCGACAATTAACTCGCCTTTAAGGGACAATAATTCACATTAAAAGATAATTTAGTGACACGTGGAACCCACAACGTGAACGTCATCCATATAATAATAACTCGATGAATGACTCCATTATTTTCATGTGGACCAAGTTAAATCTTTTTGGCTTGCAATCAAAAGAATAAGTACAAGCTTTTGCCACCCATCATTTATCTTCAATCTCTACCCATCATTTATCTTCAATCTCCCTTTTCAAAATGGGCCAAATATAGGTGTATCCCACATCATGTTTAATTTTAAATAGTAAGATTTTCCAAGTTCTTTTTTTTTAATAAAAATTTTTAATTATATAAACTTAAAAAAATTGACCACCAAACACAACTCAAGGCTAATTAAATATTAAAAATCAATATTTTAAAATTTGGATCAATAATTAAATCGGTAAAATTAATAGATCGTGATTCAATTGATTTAACCATCAATTAAAAGCAGTTGATAATAAATTTTATTTTAAAAATAAATAAAATTATTATTTAATTACAAATGATAATACTATTGATTTTATTATAAGTATGACATGATTTAAATAAAAAAATTTAAAATACAAGTTTCAAATAAATTTAATAAATATATTATTTTAAATAGTCTAAAATTGATTTTACAAACAAATAAAAATAGATTAATTTTTATTAATTATTAGTCTATTTTATTTAATTTTAATTAATCAAACTCTAATTTCAATTAACATATCTCGTTCAAATTTCTTTTTTAGACCAACTGCATTAATTAACTCTGGATGTGAAGTAAGGAGGAAGAAATAAAGAGATTCAAATATTAATATGGGGCACATGCATCCATGTATTCACACAAGATATAGGGGATTGTTTTGTTTGCACTAAATAGCCACTTTACTTCAACTTTTATCCGACTTTTCCAAGAACTAAATAATTAATTTTTAATCTAGTTTAATAATTTAAAACCTTATTAAATATAAAATAAATTACATTAATTTTTTTATGCCATGATCAAATCAAAGGACTTTAAATTAAAAGAAGATATCACATGTGATAAAGAAATGTTGGAATGTTTGGAAATCGTGGCGGAGTGGGGCCCACGACTCTTTTTGGGTTATCGGTCAACCGTCATTATTTATCCTCGTTACAACCTTATATGCAATGATGAAGACGGGGAGGAGCCTTTGAAAAGCTTACACGTCACGGGGAATTTGGGAAAGTCGGGTTTTACCGGCACGGTCGGTGGACGTGGGGGTTGCCAACGGAATGGTGGTCCTTCTAATAACGATGTAATTAATTTTACATCGTTAAATAAAAATATTAAATTAATTTTCTAAAATTAGTATTTGCAGATAACTTCTATTTCTGAGAATTCCCAAATTTCTTCCAATTTTTTTTTTTAAAATAATTAATTTAAAGAGTACTTTTGGAGTGGGAGATTTAATTAAATGAGAAATAATATTTATCATCGATTTTTCTCAAAAAAGGAAAATATTTCATATTTAAGTATTTCCATTTGGTCTATAAAAAATTAAAGAAAAAATTATTGGTTTCAAAAAAGGACTTTTTTTTTCTTCCGGGAAAAAGCGGTTCATCTGGTCAAATATTCCCTTCCGTTGCCCAAAATATTAATTTCTGCAACCAAACCAAACGTCCTCATTCTCTCTGTGTCGGTGTCAGGCCTGATTAGAAACAACTGGCTGTCCAAATTTATTGAGACACAGCTTCCAACCGCGGGTTGTATGAATTTATTGTGAGAAGTACACATATAACAAGACAAGACGGTCTAAGAATTTAACTGATATAAAATTAATATTCTTTTTATTTATTTATTTTAATAAGATTTTAGTGTAATTTTGTAATATGAAAATGGAATTAAGATATGAATATCATATATAAATACAAATTTCAGTCCTTACTCCTTTATTCAACTGGGATAATGTAAATTCTGAACCCATTATTCAAATTTAAAAAAAATTATAATTTCTTTAACCTAATATTTTTTTAATTGTGGATTTTTTGAAAACCAAAAAAATAAAAAAGACCATAAAGTGGTTGTCACTTCATAGGATTTGAACAAATTCGGTCACTATGAATGTGGGGATTTAATAGAATACCGTTCCGACCTTTATTTCATGTGTCCTAAAGTTAGTTGGACCAACGCCATCACCAATGCCAAGGGGAATTTTGAGGTAGGAGAGAAGCTGCCAAGGTACAAGAAGCTGACTTTTGGGATGCGTGCAGACCGCCTAACTTTTAACTTCCCCGGTTGACAAACGATGTCGTTAGGAAGTTCATCTCTGGCGCATGGCTTCCGACTTCTGGCTTCTGTACCAATGAAGTTTTAATTTTAAATTTTTTTGGGGATCGAGGACGCCACATAAAACAGGCATGCAAGAGGAATCTCCCAAGAACTGCCTCGCTGTGAAACATGCTCGGCCAGCCCAAATCCTTCGTATACATCGACGAACAACTCAATTGCACATGGAAATGATTTACGTAGGTCATTATTATTAGTGTCATCTTTAACTGGAAAATAGTGAATTAAAAACTCTTTCCACCTCAGGGTTTGCTTTAATTACTTTGGAGTCCCCATCTCTGCGTATAAAGACAAATTAACAAGAATTTTATTTTGCTTTCAAAAAAGCCCAAATGGATAAGAATATTTTTATCATCTGGAATTTGTCCTGCTTAAAGGAGATGGTTCTAAATGTTCCCCACACGCAACCCTGTTCACAGAGCTGAAGAGAAGCTACCTTTTCATAGAAAACTTTAAAAGCGCTTTTAGTTTAAAGTTGAAGTCTTTAGGACTTTTCTATAGAATTTTAAATTTTATTGTTTTAAAATCCAAGTAAAATAATATTTATATTTGTTGCACCTACTGGAAAATGTTTTAAAATTCCTTCTTTTTAAAGTGAATTAATTATTAGTAATTATAATATTTTAATATAAATTAATTGTTGAAATAGCATTGTCATATAAAGGTTGATTGTACTGTTTATATCCCTTGTTTGAAGGGCAAGAAAATATTAAAAATTAAAAAATAAAAAATTAGGGTTTGAAAGCTAGGCGAGAATTGGCTAAAGTGAAACTACTAATATTTTAATTACTAAATAGTTAGAAATTTTCAAGAAAATAAAAATATAAAGACAAGAACACAGGAGCCATTGGGTTAAAGGCATTTGAAAAACTAATTTTTTATCCTTTCCATTTTCCATGATTATATTAATTTCAAATTAAACTATAGAGTTGAGAAAAAGAAAACAAAATGGTAAAACAGGAAAATTATTTTTCCTTCATAATCTCAATTGTTAATTATTCATTGAATTGGTTAAATTAGATATATTCAAGAAAATCCTCAATTAATGAAAGAATAAATTTTTGACAACGACCCCTTAAACTATTGAATTTGTCTAATAGCCCCCGGCACACTTCATTGTTAATTGTTAATGGTCCACTAACTCTCGTGAGATTTAGAGGGTAAGGAGTAAGGATTGGCCGAAAATACTGTGTGTGAGAGAGAGGAGAAGGAGAAGAAGGAGATTAGTGGAGATCAAACGTCGGTAGGTAATTAAGCGCCCATATGCACCTGACACGAGAAATGGACCATCAAAGCGGAGAGGAATAGGTTAGGCAAATTTAAACAGATTAAGGGGTTGATTGCAAAAAGTAATAATATGTGGGGTTCAATTTTGAAACGGCCTATGGTTTCGGGGGTCTATGTGATTCCATCCAATTTTTTCCATAATAATATAGTGAGAC